GTCGGCTTAATACTTTGTATAAGAAACTGCGAGATTACAAATTACAGACTAAAAACTATCGCTTTCGTTTTACTTCTTCGTGCTTTTGAGATTTTGCTTTTAATTATCTTATTTCAAATTTAAAAATATTTAATTTCCATTACTAAATAAATATTTATTTAGTTTAAATTTAGGTTAAATTTTTTTATTTCTAGAAACTTATGAAATTGTCCCTATTCTTGTCCAAATTTTAATAGAATTGTTCATCTTTAATGTAATTAAAAATGATCAAATTCGACCTTAAAGTATGGAAAATCTTTTTCTTTATCGATCATATAAATATCGCTTTTTTGTTCATCGAATTTATGTAAATATCTTTTTATTAACGTAATAATATTTCTGTAAATTAGATTATGTTTCTTCAAATTAAAGCTTGTATTCGGGGAAAACAAAAAGGAGAATGTACTACTGTAATTTTAGCATTAATGCATACAGTCTGATGTTTGATCGTTTATTAAATGATTTTTTTTAAAGGATTAGAACATCCATTAAATGATATGATAATCGCTAAACAAATAAAATAGAAAGCATAATAGGTACATCTTCTAGAGACTAGTTGATGTACCTAGACTATATAATCAATTGCTCGAAACTTGAAACGTAATTGAAAAAATGCTGAAACAGAGGAAAGGTAAGTTTCGCCGCATGGTCAAAGAAGAAAATCGTAAGATACATTTGATGTCATTGGAAACTTAATATTTGCGGTATATCGTCGTAATCACGAAAACCATAAATTGTAAGAGCAACGAGTGTTTGAGAAAGCCAATTAAATCCGTCAGCTTATCGTCTATTAAAATCTTTCTATCGCAGGTTGAAGCTCTCGACTCGTTCGAAAAAAAGAAAATAAAATTCAATTAAAAAAGTAGCCAATTAGTTTCGTAGTAATCGCAATCTTCTACTAATTATAACTAATTATATACACATATAATACAATGAAACGGGACAAATTTTAACTCGTAACATGGATATTGTGTACAATTTTTGTTGAGAATAATTTTTGTTCTTTATAATTTTATATCTCTGGATGTAATTTTTTTCATACGGAAGAATTTGAAGAAGAATTAAAAGAGCTCGACGAAGTCAGCTATTTTGGATTTTTCGAAACATTATACCAATATTGTCCATAAATCTTTGAAAATACTTGGTTTTATTACGTGTTTAACTTTCGATTTTTTAAATGTATAAACATTAAAACTCCTCTATTGTTTATTACGTTAAAACGCAAGCATTATATAAGAATAAGCATTACGCTAAATATGAGTATCTTTTTTAGAACAAATACAAGTTCCTTAAATTCTCCGCTCATAATATGAATATTAGAAAGTCATATCTTAATTTAGTAATTATTTTCTTATATTGGATGATACTTATTTACTTTTTCAATCAATGCAGAATCATAGCAGATCTCTCACTTTTATTAAAAATTATTAATGGTAAAATCAACTCTCTATTTTTTTTAGGATAAATATCGTACGCATAAATCTTTATGCATCAGATACATACTGAAATCGATATTTTTGACATCATCAGTGATCAATACATCCTCCACGAGATCCAATAAACGAAATTATTAAATTCATTAACATATTGACTGCCACAATATGCTCATCAATAAATGTTTTAGAACGATTAAAATAAGATAAATATTATCGTCAAAAAGAAAAATTTTAAATAACATAAAGGAAACTAGATAATATTATAAAATGAAAAATGCGTTTTATGTATAAAACTGTTCGTATGTAAAACATAACAGAATAACATCAACTTTTTTTCTTCGAGCACATAGCTACATTTGAAATGAAATTCTTCAATATTTTCTCAACACTGTAATTTTTCTTTTTCCCTCTATTTTTGTATCTTATTAGATTAGCCCTTTATAATAAATTTTTCCATAGCTTGAGCTTTTCCATAAGTTATTAACAAAGAAAATAGGAGAATATAATTGCTAATTTTTTCCAGCAGATGCAGTCGGTTTATCGTTTACATAGGCATCTGTGAAAGTATCAAATGTCCCATCATAATTTTCATTCAAACAAATCATCGTTTGATCGCATGGCGTACTATTGAAATAAGCAATTCATCCTCTTTCAACATCGTTCTTTTTTCACCGTTTATATCCAGAAGATCATCCAAGTTGAATCGTTTATTCCTTATGTTTGTTCACATGTGACTGTCAACGTCGTGGAACGAGATGTTTGTCTTGTTAACATAATGCGCGACACACGCTAATAATAAAAATTGATGGACTAAGAAGTACATCGATTAATTCAGTGAAAACGTTTCTTGATTCAATTAATCATTTCGATTACTTTGCTACGTATAAAGAAGTTGAGAAATTGCCTGGTTCTTGTTGTACCAATTTATAAGCTATGAACTTATAGACTATTAACGATAATCAATTTACACGTATATTACACTGGTTCGCAAAAGTATTCGGATACTCGATGAAAACTTGTTGACACTTTAAACTGTTATAACTTTGTGAAACAAGGGATTAAACAAAAAGTTCTAATATTCCATCGAATTTTCATCGCGTAACTGTAAAATTCGAAGTTTTTTAATATTAAATACTTTTTTAATATTTATTTTAATATCATACTAATATTAATATTTATATTAATATTTTAATTTTAATATTAATTTTAATATTTAATATTAAATACTTATTTTAATATTAAAATAATGTAAAAAGTATTTCATTATAAAATAATGAAAAAAGAATCATACAGAAAGGGATCCTTGTAAAGGAGAATCTTCAATTTTCAAGACTGTGCTAGATTGAATTTTTACAATATGATATTAAAACATCTTTGAAGAGAATGAACTCAGAGCTCAACCAATATAAGTGTTTTATGCTTTGAACTGAACCTAATCCCTGTAAGTTGTTTGCTGTTGCAAGTTTTCTGTATGAGATTATAACAATTTAAAAGCAGAGCCAACGAAGGATAAAGAAATATTATAATGCAGGATATTTAAATTGAGTATTCATATTCTTTTCTGTGCTACTAAACGCAAAAAGAAAAAGATAATTGATGATTTCATATACATTTACTGACGATAAAAACAGATCATTTTGAATATAACTTCAAAGTTATCGTTATTTTCTTGAGCATTAATATGCGATTGTTTACTTAATTTCAAGACGAATTTACTAACCTATGATATAATGACCTTGAAATGACATTCAAAATTAGCTTGGAATTCCTGTCCCCACATACGCTATCAATTTTCTTTTTTTTTTTAATTTTTAATAAGACTAAAAATAATTTAGAAGTCTGACTTAAGTCTATATATAATATAATATAAATAATATAAATACATAAAATTATAATTCAATCTTCATAGTCTTTAAACGCGTCCTAACATAAACAACAAAAAAAAACAAGCAAAAAAAAAAAATGAAAGAAACCTAATTTCTAGTTTCGAAAAAATCCACTAGGTAGAATCAGTGCTCATATTTTTTATTTCGTCTCATATTAATGGAATTTCATATAAATGGATGTTAACAAATGGCAGGATTATTGAACAATTGAAACATATTTCAATTGTATAGAAAATGCCAAACAATACGAAAAAATTCATAAATGTCTTTCTGATCAGATTTTATTGGAAATATAATCTGCCATATTGAAACTGTTATTAGTTTATTTTATCGTAAATAGAATACTGGCTGTGTTGTAATGGTATAGAATATCACAAAATATTACAAAACGTGATACTTTATTGTTTAAAATGTTTATTTCATCGGTCCAACGAGAAAATGCATCGTGGATACAGAAAAACTCGCTCGATAGAATCTTTATATAGTATATTTTAAATATTTATCATTACGTACAATGACTCACGAAATATTCAAACGCTTACTATAGGAAAATGAATTATTTATTTCATTATAATGAGACATAATTACATCATTTGAAAATAGTTTATATAATTGAAGTTCATGTAATAGGAATCTATTGGTTCTCTTCTTTATTAGTAATTTTTCGTTCATAAAAGTTCAATAGAAGTTCAAATTCAAATAAATAAATTCAATCAGCAAGAATTCATTTAATTAGGTATTGATTAAAATTCAATCGAATTAAATGGAGTACATATAAACGGAGTTCTATAAATATTTGTATCAAACATCTTGCAATTTCTGTACATATTTTTATATATTTGTTTCAAATTTGACCAACGTAATCATGATTAATGAATCTTGCTATAATGTTGATGAAATTTCAAAATGTTTTATATGTTTTATACAATATGTACTTGATATGTATGTTCATAAGAAAATTTCTATAGGCGTTTGAATACTTTCATATGAGACAGATAAGAAGAGTCATTTTATAGAAAGATGTAAAATATCGATGTACAAACATATAACATATGTACATGGTGGAAAAATATTTCCTTGAAAATATACAAATGATTAAAATATCGATTTTCTAATTCGAGATTAAAAGATAAGAAATCAAAATATTGTTAAGTTCGTTTGCATTATACGTTAATTATTTCTAATTCGATCTCGCAAATAAAACGAGATGTGCGTTTCTATTTCTGTTTGGTCGATAGGAAGATCTTGAATGAAGATATTGTCCTGTTCGCTTAGCCTTACAGTTACGTAAACTGGTAAAAAGTCCAAAGGAAGCGAGTCGTTGCAGATTTGCAACGATGTACGCGTATCTTATTTTTTTCTTTCGACCGTATAAATCAGTGCGTCTCAAATTTTTTACTATATTTTCATGCACATAAGTTGGAATTTCCAATAAAAAAAGGAATATGAATAAAATTAATATTAACATTAACATTAGAGACAAAGAGAACATCATAGTAAAAAGATTAATTAATTGAACGTTGTATCTGAAAAGATAATAATTAGATAAAATGATATCTTAATTTCTCTAGATTTCTAGAGAAATCTTATCGATATTAAGCCAAGCTGTTAATTAAGCTTATTACGTTGCCTTGACGCCGATCGACATCTCCAATCGAGATTGCGGTTTACTTTTACGTGGCAAACTTATCTATTTTCGTGTTACATTTGCGTTCACAGACAATTCCCTTTGAACTTTTTGAAATGAAATATAGTTTTAAATAAGTAGAAAATTGTGTTGTGTTTTTGAAAGACACTAGAACAAAATAAAATGAAACAAACTGTTCATCCGGTGGAAATTGAAAACACGTTTACCATTTCTTTCTTAGATTTCAAGTAAGTACTCGTTCCAACGTCTCGGCTGGTTCATAAATTTGTCCTGATGATTCTTCTCTTTTATCTCGCCACTTTCCTCTCCGATGTATCGATCGAATCTTTGCAACATCATTGCATTTAATGTTAAATCACATGCACGTAAGTTCAGCCAAGGTTCTTCACAATTGCTATATTAGCCATGTTCTCTCTCCCTCTCTCTCTATTTTTTTCCTGTAGTCGTATTTTAAGTCCTTCAACCTATGTATTTGTTACTTGTTGAATTTTGGAACAGATAATAATCTATTTAATATGATTTGTTCGAAAAACATGTTTCTTTTTTATCAAACGATTTTTTTACGAACTACTAACACATTTATTACGTTATTGATTTTTTAATGAATTTTATAGTAACATCGATGTAAATTAATATGTGAAATAATGATACATTTAAGCATCATTTAAGTATTCTTACGAATATTTTTTTTTTATAATGTAATAAATATCGTTTGTTTTTGATCGATATTGGAATATCGCAAAATTCATGAATTTTTTATTTCTGGTACATTCAAGAGTCACAACGAAGAGAATTTTAAATATGCATGTTTATCGATTGATAATTGGTACAAAATATTTGAAATTAGTTCGTAATTTGTAATTATAAGGATTTCTTGCCATCGATTCAAAATAATTTATGTGATTTTAGAATGATAGAAGTCCGAGGACCTATACTTTTTCTAGATATATATATCCACGATGAAATACATAAAATATTATGTAAAACCACATAAATCTGTGTTATAAGAAAGAATTTTTTTTTTT